AGAAATTGATATTCTGGGGGAAAAAATGCCTTCACCCTCTCAATGCAGTGTATTTTGGTGCCTCTGCAACTGCATGACTGCACTGTAAAAGAATGTAAAAAATTGTTTAAATGCATGTGGACCTTGTCGCTCATGAGGACACGCTGTCACATGAAAGCTCAGGCAGTCACACTCTTCCATGTAGCCTGTTAGAAGTTAGCGCAAGCTGTTGCAAGCTTGTCGGTGCAGGTGCAAGAGCAGCTTCTGGAAATAAGACAAGACTGTCGGTTGAAAGAGAAATGAAAGAAAATTCGATCATGAAGCCACTTTTGCATTAAAGAACGTCCGACCGTCGCACATAGCTGCGTTGCTTCCTTTGGTGTGATCTAACCATGTGGCTTCTCAGAGAAAACACCCGTGAACATGTGTGTAAAATGATGTGGCGGTTCGCTGTGGAGGTTTTGTGCATGAAACGCGTGCACTTCGAAAACACCTCTCCGACGCTTGAGCCCGCTTCTCTGCTGAAGGTCAAGAGTTTGTAACTAATTCCGACTTACATCCACTGACTGGTATATGCCTGCTTTTCCTACTTGTTTAATTCCCTGTGATGGAAGACAGATGATCAAAGCAGTGCTCAAGTGTGCAGACAAGTACTCTTCAGATGGACAGGAAACGCTGCCACACCAAATTCTGACCCGTGTCTTGCAAGAAATTACACTTAATTTTGAATGAAATGAGATGTTGTGGGTGTCAAAGCCTGCCATAATAGGTTAAATATGAATAAAAATCAACAAAAAACTAAATGAGACGGGGAAACCGTGGAATAAACTATCATAAAATGTATATAAATAGGATTAAATATGGAAATATATACTTTTTTATTCGCCCCCGTACATTGTTTTCTCGCATATTTGTATGAACCCTTTGAACTCTGTCACATTTTTACTCACTGTTGCATCATTTTTTTTTACTACTATGTTAAGTCCTCTGTGGAAACAGCACCACCATGGCTAGACGATGATTTAAAAATGCCTTTTATGCAGTAGAACAAAGTCAATATTGGAAAAATCAGAGCAAAAGAATAGAGGAAAGATGATTGATTAATTGTTTTACAAAAATTACTAAAACCTGGAATCAACATGTAAAACATACCAACACACTTCACCAGAAACAACATTTGTGACTCTATGTACGATTTATATTTTAACACTTGCATGTGAAATGTGTTTCCATTCTTGTTTCCTATCTGCTTTGTGTAAACACAGCCTGCAGTTCAGCTGAAAAAAATCAGATTTTATGTCACTTCTCATAACAGCCGGTTCACTGATCACTTCTCATTTCCGCTGAGGACCACACATTTTATGATTTTTGGAGAATCTGCTTCAAGTAAATGGTTGATTTTTAGTGAATTTTCAAATGAGACATCTAGAATAAATTAATTTTGGTAAAATATCACTATTTTGTTCTCAGATTTGGTTAGACTTCAAAGTTCAAAATCTTATCATTCTCTAATTTTACAGTTCCTAGCTTTTATAATTCGCATAATTTTGTCAGTTGTTGAAAGACAACATGCCTTTTAAACCCACTGGTGGACTTCAGAGGATTATTTAACTGTAATCTCTAATTATTTATTGACTGACTGGGTCCACAGATTTATTAGTTCTTTCTGTGCAGCTACAAGCAGCCTCCTTGTGCATCACAAATGACAGATATCTGAAAGAAAAAAAAAATCTTCATCTCCATTACAAGATAATTCCGATTTTAAAAGGCGTGTAAAATACAAATCAAACATATATAGCTGTTGGTCCTGTGAGCCTGTTGGCCAGACAGAATAGTTCAGGTCGGTCTCTGTCAGAGCTGCTGTCACTGCAGTTGATCCAGTCGTGGATAACGCTGCTTCCTTCTCATTCTGGCTGTTAGTTGTAGATTCTCACTGTGGCATCTGTGCTGGCTCTCTTCCTAGATTTGGTCAATTAGCGGAGTCCTCTCCAGAACATACTAGCACGGTATTAACACTGTGTGTGTGTGTGTGTGTGTGTGTGCGTGTGTGTGTGTGTGTGTGTCGAGCAAACACTTCTACTTTATACACATGCACATAGCTCTGAAGAAGTACTTTGTTTCCGCTGCCAAAGAGAATTTGTTTTTGTTTGTTTAACTTTGCATTTGTTAGTGAGCAGAATATCTCAAATCTTGACAACAGATTGGAGCTGCTTGGTGCACATTTAGACCACGAGGAAAGAACAAGTCATAAGTACCAATCAAGATGCAGACCTGTTCTTAGAAATGTAAGCTGGGACGTTTTTAACAGTACTGCACTGACTTTTGTGTCCCGTTATTTGTCGGTTTACTGTGACCGTCCTGTTGTGCGATGAACTTTTCAGCCATGCTACCAGCGAGGCTCTTGGGATGGAAATGTCGTTGGTTTGGTCTTTTGGTCCGTCACTTTGATCCTGAGTGAAATGTCTCAGCAACTTTTGGATGGATCGACATGACATTTGGTGCTGACATTTGTGCAGGAGTGAACCGCATTAACTTTGGTGATCCTTTTAACTTTTGTCCAGTGCAATGATTGAAGACCAAACACCGACTAAGCTCATACCATTCCTGTTAATTGCTGCAAACATTAGCATTGTTGTCACACCGATCTACATCATACAACAGTCGGGCATGTAAATGTCAAATCATGACAAGTAGAGCATTTCCTCTTTTGAACTACAAACACTTTAGACTACACTGAAAGTACAGACCCAATAGTAGGAACTGCAACAACAGTGCTCACTGACTTAAAAAAAAACCTGTAGTCACACTGACTTGGCTAAGTATGTCGTCTGACTTGAAACCAATACACCTTTGGGATACTTTAAAGAGGAAGGTACCGCTAAACAACCCCTCTGGCAAAGAAAAAGAAACTTGTGCAACACTTTTAGCGAGAAATCGAGGTTGAAAATAAAGTTGAGCTTGTGAACCATTGGGTTCCCACCATGGAGCCTCTGTTTTGATGACAGTAAATGTTACCTTTCAGTACAAATACCCTTCTGTAATCTAATTCCTGTAAGCCCATAAATTGTTGAACTGTCTGACATTTAAATGATATTGCACAGGGGTTTACTCAGTTCTGTAAACTGTAGGAAGTCGGCTTGCTGCTGTTGCCATGTAGGTCAAAGCACCACTGGGCCTTAGGTTGACCTCGCAGAAGCGCTGCTATAACTGGATTACACTGGATTGCACCCTCATGTGTTGAGGAGTTCCACCACACATATACATCATAAGGCCTGTTTAGACTTATTAGGTTGCCTACATTTAAATATCAGAAAGCTTTGTAGTTACTGAAAAGTTGATTTTGTAAAGACAAAGTGTTTTGGGTTGAGATTTTCATGCAGGTTTAACAATCTGGGGATGGAAGTCTGTCTTAAAAACGACAGTCTTGTGCAGTCTTGGTGGAAGCTTGAAGTACAGGTACTCTCTCCTGTACTATATATACTGCATGTTATGCATTCTGCCACTCGCTCCGGCAGCGTGATCTCCAGCATGTAGACAGTGTTAAAACTCTACTCTGTCCATTAGACACCCACACGCTGACATTATCTGTAACATGAACTCCAAACAAAAGTGCTAAGGAGCCTATTCTCGTTCTGCATTCATTGTTGCTCGAACATGTGTTTCAGCTGCTGCTCATAACTTCCCGCTCACCGCGCTCGGCGCAGTGTTGCTGCGCCGGATAGCTTTGGACATGTGCGCTCACCCATAATAAGAATGGTTAACAGTTGCAGCATACAGTACATAATCTATTTTAAACCCTTTTATTTAATCAGATTAGTCAATTAAGAGTCAATTATGCTTAGCTCCTGCCCAGCCCAAACCCCCACAAGTGCAAAAAAAGAAAAAAAAAGAAAAGATTAAACAAATGAGCCTTACACACAATTTAGCTGATAATAGTGGGATTTCTTTGCACGGCTGGGCCTGTGTGCGACTCCATCATCGTTTCAATATTACTGCCAGAAATTCAGGTTGTGTTTGTGATTATAAGTGAGGAGGTCGTAGATGTATGGATGTCTTTGTCGCTGATTGTTTGCTGTATTGGACAGATATTCAGTGTAAGCTGGATTGGCGTTTTTTTCTTTTAAAATTTTCCCCGTTAATTGACAAAACATTAAAAAGCAGACAGAGTGCTGGAAGCATTGCGGTCTAATTATTATTCCCGTAGAGAGCCATCACGAGCGCAGATTTTTACAACGCCGACTAAAGAATGCCAGTGAATGGATGGTGAAGTGTTGTTTGGCGTTTCTTCCTGAGTGCGTGGATGCATGTTCGCCGGCACAAAGACTCTTTATCACTGTGAGTGGATGTTCCTTTATGTGCATTACAGACACCAGCGTCTGCAGTCGTGATGCTGTAAGCCGGTGTGGGTAACAGCCAGGAAAAGATCATGTCACAGCCACCACCTCCGGCTTTTTTACGCTCTCTGGATTCTCTGAATTTCTCGTCGAAGACACTCATTTGATGTCTCAGACTTCGTGCATGAGTCAGGCGCGAGGACATTCCTAAAATGGATCTTATTTGCATTCTTGGTGTGATTGTGACACCGGACAAACAGACACAACATTTTTTTTTTTTTCCCAGGTGCTTCTTTGTGAGAGTCAAACTGAGGTTCATACAGAAGAAGTATGGTGGTGTTTTCACATTTCAGTGGCGGTCTCAGTGTTTTTGCCGGTGTGTTGGTTTGCCATGCTGCTTGTTTACTCATGCTTTAGCTTTATCTGACCCAAGGCAAACACAAAGCTGCCTAGGAAAGCCTTCAGGATGTTTTCATTTTATCAGTGTGCTGCTTCAAGTTCATAAGCTCTCTGTCTTCCTCCCTCCTTCTCTGTCCTGTCCCTGTCACTCCTCTCTTTCTTCCATCTCCCCCTCCGATCTGTCTGTCTGTGTGTATGTGTGTGTGTGTGTGTGTCTTTTCCGTGTGTTTTCTGTGCGTGCACGTGTCGTCTCCTTCTCTATATGTGTGTTATGCTTTCTGCTCCCAGCCCCTCTGCGGAAAGCAAAGTTTGTGGAGAGCCCTCGCATTCCACAATCAGAGCTTGGCTCCCCTACACACACCTCCACCACTGCCAAGAATCCAGACCTGGACACATACTGCCCTGGTAAGTTTTTGGCCAGCTCATCCCTCATTTCGTTGTGTTTTTTTTCCCCTGCATGTTGGTGCCCGTCTGGTGGATTACAAGCAGAGGAGGCACAGAGAAAATGTATGGGGTTTTTGCAGTAATTCCGCCGGCCGCTTTAAGACGAAAACATTGCTAAGGTCATTAATGAAATAGCTTTGCTGGTGCCCACAGTGTCCGTCCTCCCTGCCTCCTCCCTCCCCGCCTCCTTTAATCCTCTCTCTCTCACTGCTTTCTCACCCCGCCGCTCTGCTTCACGGACGCAGAGAGCTTGTTTAGGTGCCACCGCTGTTTTTTCTGTTAACTTCACAGCCGGCTTTTGCTCGGTAATCCCACGGACGGTCCAGATCTCCCTCAACCCCCAACGCTCCCCAAATCTATCCCCGTCAAAACCTCCTCCCTCCTCCTCCTTTCCTCTGCTCAGGGAGGACATTAAAGCGGGTCACTCGAGGATAGCGCTCTGCTGAGATTTGGGTTCTGGTATATCTGCTTTCTCATCTCGCCTCTCCTTTTTCCTGTTGCCACCGAGAAGTGCAGTGTTAGCTTCCTGCCCTGTCTTGTTGGCTCAACCTCTGGTGGCTATGTGGACTCCTCAGCAGAGCAGGACGATGCTGCAGTGCTCCAGGGCTGGATGAAGACATGAGGGATGTAGTGATGGGGGGCCTCGAGGCTTAAACTGGTATAATGCTGCCAGCCTTCTCCGTTTGTGAGCCTCTTCTGCTCAGTTTCTGCTCAATGGGAGTTCTAAGTAGGTGATATTTGCGTTGAGCACACATTCTGATTTCCGTGTAAGTCTAAATAGTGTGTAGTACCCTTTAGCTGTGGCTTGCTGTTGACTCTCGTGGATGAAAAACTGTTGACCCTGGCGTTATTTTGCATCAATCCCGCGCGGCGTCGCCTTTCATGAACTGCTTAAAGCTCCCGTAGATGTGACATTTCATGGATGAAACGGTAATCTCCGCAGCCGTCGATGCGGGGAAGCGGTTGATTGCGAACAGGAATTCTCCGTCTGTGCAATAACAACTTGAGCCGGAGAGGAACCGGCTGGGCTGAGATGAGTTTTCATGGGGGTGAGGACTCGCACCTCCCAGGTGGACAGATGGACATCTTAGCTCTTAACACAGGCTCCCTGGCATGTGTAGCGGCAGGGTAGTGACTTAAACATCTGATCGCATGCCAGTCCACACACACTCTGCTGCTGACACTGTCTGTCGCCCCGGAGGAAGTCAGGTATCAGCTGATTTTCATGGCCTACAAAGAAATTTGTGGTCTCGTAAATATGGTTTGTGAATATTTTGTGGGATCGCTTGTAAAATTCACCACCAGGCATCCTCCATATATCATGGAGTGAAAGCTTTTCTAATGATGTTAGAGCGTCTTACTGTAATTCCTCAGTCTGGAGGCGGACACTACACACGAAATCCTCTATCATAGTGTTTGTAGTTTTCTATCACAACATCCATATTTAGTGGTTGAGTTCAGTTCAAGTACAACTGAAATCACATTTAGTCCGTTTTATTATGAAGAGAAAAATAAGTGACATTTGTATTCACAGTTACTTTTTATTGTGCCATTTGATTGGCTGCATGGAGTGAATGCAAAAACTGGGGCACAATCATAAAACAAAAAAAAATATAACACATGAATTTGTCCCCTTTTGGTGAAGACAGAGCTGATATATGTGCCCTCACAGGCAAAAAATATGGATGTACGAGCCTAGAAGTGCAGGAACACGTTCAGCAGAACATAAAAAATACACAGGGTACCATAAATATAAAAGTTAAGCTAAACATTTTTATTCACTGTGGGCTCATTTTTCACTGCAACATAAAGTCCTGCACCTCTGTGGAAACAGCACAACCATTGCTAGAGGTAGACAGAACTGAAAAATGTCTTCTGTGCAGTATAACTTAGTTATATTAAAAGAGAGTTTGATTTCTGTAATTATTTATTTTACAAAAATTGACAAAACCTGAAATCAGAATGTACAACATTTTTCCAAGTGCTCACAGGCGCTACCAATAAGAGGAAAAATGGGTAACTACGTAGTGCAATTATAGATGTTTTACGACATACATTTTTTATTTGTTTCCATACTTGTCTCTTATTTGCTCATTGTAAACACAACCTCCAGTTCAGTCAAAAAACTCTTTTTTTTTACAGAACCTAGTTAATGCAAATGGTTTATTTTTGTCAAATTTTTAAAATTAGAGACGTAGAATACGATGATTTTGATAAAATAGCACAAATTTAAGCTGAAATTTGGTTTATTTATCAGACCTAATTAGTACAAGAATCATTGACAATGTTTTCTGTCTTTAAAGTTAATGGCTCTGATAAATGAATAAATAATATATTTTATATTTTTACATACAGTAACATGCTTTTTTAACCCTCCTATTATCTTTGGGGTCAGTTTGACCACATTTAATGTTTGACATCTCTAAGGAAGTCATTGACGTAATTTTTTCAGTTTTATTTAAAGGGCGCTTTACACATAAACTTGGGTAACAATTTTTGATTAGGATATTTTCTGGAGGTTTAAATTGCTGGAGTCAAATTGAACCCAAGAATAAAACATGTCAGTAAATGTGAAGGTAATAGGAGGGTTAAACAGTCAGTTTTTGGGAATCAGAGACTGTGGATGGTTTCTAAAAGCTGAGAGATCTTTACAGATGTAATCATGATGAAACTCATGAGAATGAATCATGAGTTTCAACATATAGTTTTGTGTTTTTGATTTTTACTTTAATACCTGGCACATGTATGCACTTTATCACATTGATGCAAAACTCAAATGAAAATCTTACATGATCACAAAGCAGTACTTGCAAGGTTCCCCACAAGTTGCCAAATAGATGCCTGAAACGATAGAAATGATGTTTCAGATGGACACAGAAATGTTTCTGCAGTATAAACAGTTCAATAAGATCTCTGATGATAGTTTCACAGTGTATACATGTAGTGTATACGATCATATCACCCACTTCTAAGACCTGGCGTCCTGAGTCTTGGTGTGCTTTGATGTATAAAACCTCTAAGTGTTGTTGCTCAGATAAGATCACTGCTATGCACATCAGGAATGTGAAATTCACTCTTCTGATCTCTTCATCAGCCTTCCATTCGCTGGTTTGGAGATGCCTTTGCCTGCGCATATCTGTACTTGTGTGTTATACATGCCTTCCTTTTATCCTAAGCTCTAAAATATGTGTGAATGTACCTCAGTTTTGCACCTTTCTAAAAACACGTAGGGGTTGCGTATGAGAGTCTGCTTGTTTTTTTTTTTGTAAAATAGGTGTTTGAAACCTAAAATTGCCACAGTATGGGTGAAGTAAGAGCCACCAAATGGCCTGTGTGTGTGTTATCTTACCTGCTACTGGGGCCTATTAATACCATCCTGTCCTGTCCAGTCCCCTGCTTGCAGCACACATGCTTCCCTTTTTTTTTCGCTCCTCTCTGTGCGCGCAAGGGCAGATCCGTGGACAGCCGGGGTAGAAACAGATGCGCTTGCACAGAAACACATTCCTAGCTGCGCGCAAAGATAGTTGCCATGGCAACCATCTGTCTCCTTCGCAGCTCAGGAATCCAATGGAGAGGAGCGTGCGTAAATGTGACTGCGTGTTTGGTGGAGGAGGGCTGGTTCAGATTTTTTTTAAAAAAACATAAGATGTGAGTTTTATCGTCGGGGATCTCCACCGTGTCGGTGCGAGGAGGAAAGTTCCTCAAGGCGTCCTCGTCTTGTGTTCTCTGTCGTCCTGCTTTGAAGCGACCTAGATGTTTGCAGGAGGCAGCATGTGTCATAATCTGTATTCAGAGAACAAAAGGTAGGGATATAAATAGAAAGAAATCAATGCATACAACCCCCTGCATTATGATAATGTATGTTTCCCCTTTGATAGTGGCTCATTAGGTACAAGCACGTGGAAGGTTTAAAAAAAGACTAAGCTGATGTGCATTTAGATTTTCTTTGACAGCTGTGTGATTGTAGTTCCCCCTTCCCAAAAAAAAAAACAAAAAAAATCCTGGGCTTTGGCCTTATGCTTGTGCTTTTTTTTTTAAAGAGTTTTTAAGGATATACAAAGGGATTGCCTATGTTTAGCTCAAGGGGAGTTACTGTGGGCTTCCAGATTAGAGATTATGCTCCCACATCAAAAGAAAGGCAGACAAACTGCTCACCGCTGCACAGCTGGCTGCAGAGATGCTGTAGTAAGAAGCAGCTAAAAACCCCGGCGAAACCAAGAGGCAAAGAGAGGCAGACAAAGAGATGAGTGAGTGAAGGAACACAGAAAGAGGCAGCGACCGGCAGAGAGAGCCCCTGTTTGATCGCGGTCACGGCTGCAAAATCCTCCCAGGAGGCGTTGACTAATCGCTGCTAATGTATTCACTGCTTACTACTACCAGTCTGTCAACTGGGAAGCCTTCACTGCCTGCATGTCCAGACACACATGCGGGATTCATGCATATATATATGGACCCTCTGCTGCTGTTGTTGTGAGTGCGATTTTCTCAGCTGCGAGGGGGTAGAACTATAATTCCATCTACCTACATCGTCTCCATTACCATCCTCAAGGGATACCCGGAGATTCAGTGACCTTGGAAGTCCTCGTAAATGTATTCCGCTCCATATAAAAAAGTGAATCCAGACGCATTACCGAGCAGCCGTATCCATCTCATCAAGGCTCATGCGTAATTAGCTTGTTTTGGACCTTAATGTGTGCTGTGATTACCTCATTATTGGTTGCTGCTGTGTGTGTTTTTACTTCAGCTCTGCAGCTCGTCGCCCCCCGTTTGATTCAAAGGCAGGTTTTTCTCCCCCCCTCCCCTTTTCTTCTCCTCTGAAGGTGTCCGTCTTCCTCACTTTGCTCAGAGGGACTCGGGAGTCAATCTAATGAGGATCCTGACAGTGCTCAGCCTCTCCGTCCATGAGCGAAATGGAGAGAGGGGAGCACCGGGCTTTAGATTGCCTGTCTGTCTGTACGTCTTTGAACTGACGAGTGAGAGGCCACAGGCTTTAGACAAGCTGTCTGTCTTCAGAGAGCCAGTGTGGCGGTTGGGACTGTCTAATGGCTGTCAGTCAGGACTTAGCGTAGCTACCTGCCAGTCGGGTTCAACTTGCCCTGCAGGGCTAAGCGTGAGAAAACTGGTCCTGCCACTTGCTGCCTCTGACTCGCTGCAGTTTATTTTAACCACCGGCCATCTCGTGCTGTTGGCTTCAGTGTCATTAATGTCCGGGCCAATTCGGAGGCTTATACATCCAATTACAACTGGTCGTATTTAGCCACTAGTTATTCTTTTTTTTTCTTAAATTCACAGCCTGCAGGGTTAGTAATTAGCGAAACCTGCAGCTCTGAGAGTGCCACTCCAGCGAATAACGCAAAATTGAATTGAAGCTGATACAGTAGGCACCTCGAGGGTATGATAGCCAGGTGTTATTGAAAAAACATGACACCACCGATGAGCGTTTGTTATGGGTGGAGAGTAACCAGGCAACCGAGTGACAACATGAGGTCATTATTATTTTGGGGGGGAGGCGGTTTTTGGGTCTTGTTTTAAAGTTGGAAATCCCTTCAGCTGTGTGTGTGTGTATAAGTGTGTTTGTGTGCGTTTTTTTCCCCCTCATCTGATCATCATGCAGGCTCACCCTGTTGTTTTCTTTGCTCTCTAAGTCTCTGTAAATAGGATAGAGATGTGACTACACGCCCGCTTTGTGTTGACGAGTCACACACACCTCGCTCTCTCACACTCACACTCAGGTGAAGGGCGTATCTGATTACGTCACACGAGCTGCGGCAGCGGTGACGAGTGGTGCGGAAGCAGCCGTTTGTCAGTGTGGGAAGCCTTTTTGCTAGTCAGCGTGGAAAGCGGACTTTTTGTAAACAGTTGGAAGCATTTCTTGCGGCGGCTGGAAGGGATTGTGGAGTTTATGTAAGAACGGGAAGCATCCAGGTGTTGAGGAATGTGTGTGTGTAATGCACAGCCCTGAGCTCCGGGAGAACTCAGGTAGGGAGTTTCATTTTATTTTCCTGAGCGCAGGTGCTGCTGTAGATCCTGCGTCCGGGTCTCTGCTGTGGTTTATGCAAAGCGAATGCAGGCAGATGTACTGTGTGCTCCAAGCAAAGAGGCTGTGGATGTAAACTCTTTAAAGGTTTTTTTTTGGTTTTGTTTTATAGCAAAGCTACTGCTCTGTTTCTGCCCACCCCTGACACACATTCCTTCTCTTCTCTCTTCCCCCCCCACCACCTTCTTCCTCCTCCTCCCCGTCTCTCTCTGCCTCCGCAGGGGAGTCAAGCCAGGAGCTGGGCCCCCCTCCGTCGGTGGATGAGGCGGCCAACACATTGATGACGCGCTTGGGTTTCCTTCTGGGAGACAAAGTGAGTGAGGGGCCAGCCGGTACCCAGTACAGCATGGAGGAACCCGAGGCGAGACAGGTAGATGATCCCGCTAATGAACATGACATTTTTTCCTCCACGACATCTACTCTAAGGACATTTTCTTATCGAAAATTATGCTCTTTTCAAAGAGGAGCTGCAGTTTTGTAGGCAAAAACCTACAGAAAAATATCACAATGATATGATGCACTCTAGGGATGTGTTTTTATGTTTGTTTGTTTGTTTTGGGATTTTCTTTTGGACCAGTGCCAATTATTGGTACTCAAGATGGCCAATAACCGATATTTGGAGCAGATATACATTAAAAGTATGTGATGACAGAGAACCTGTCATTCATAACTAGGCTTCTTCATTAATAAAGGTGACAATAACTGAATATGTAAAATAGAAACAGGACTAAATTAGGACGCTCTGCTCGGTTTCTGTGGAATCAGTCGACATTGATTCATTCGTCTCCTGCAGTTGTGTCTCCTCTTTTCTCTATTTTCTTAATCTTTCACTGCTCTATCATTTTTATTGTCCACAAAGGTCCATATCTTAAAGCGTTATTGTTTTCCAGACTATGTCTCAGGGTAATTTGTAACTCCCCTCTAACTTAACCACTAGTTGTTAGCGTAGCCTTAGCCACTGTAAGAGGAGCTCATTTCCTGGTTTGCTTGTGTTTCTTGTTCAGTTTTTGCAGCATCTGCTTAGATTTCTGAGACCACAGAATGATGACAGATAGCAAGACGAGGCTGCATCAGAACTAAAGTAGCGCATTTATTCATCAAGAATATGTTGATAAAAATAGAGATACTGATAATCGGAAAAATGCCAAATATCGGCCACGATTGGTTTATCCCTGATGCACGCAGGGAGTTTGAGGTGAAGCGTTGTCTCAGATGCTGCAAACTTGCTTTCGTTAAAAATGCTCATGCGATTGATAGGGTTTATTCTCATCTAATCGTCTTATCTCTGTGATTTTGCATATTTCTGTTGTGAGAGATTGTTCTTGGGAGCTTGAACAAACTCTCAATCGTCTAATTCGATCTGTTTTGACATTTATCCTCGTAATATCCTTGTTTACATTGGGCTTTGACAGATCTTTGGATGTCAGGGTAGCCAGATCAAAAGACTTCTCAGTAAATTGCCCTCAGAATTCATCAGCGTCTCTCCATCGAGCGTCAGATATCCACAATTAGATGTTTATACAACTTCATTGTTTCTTCCTCAGCGTACTTAAAACTTTACGTATTGAAAGCAGGTGTTTTGAGTCGACATGCAGCAGGTTCCTCTCCTGCACCGTAACCTTTCTATTTGGGAATTTGGCAGTTGTACAACAAAACAGCTCTTGGCACAACGGGCCGAGCTCTGAGCTCTGCAGCAGATGCCCTGGTTTTTCTACCTAAACCTGATTTGACAGGTATGAATTTTCCAAAATCGCAAAAAGAAAAACAGTTGCGGCGGAGTAGACAAGAGAGGGAGGAACAGGGAGGAAGTGGAGGGGGGAAAAGGGGGCTAACCTGTTGCTGAAACATTCAAAAGCAAGCTGAGGTATGGGTTTGCACTAAAGCAGTGTGGATAAGCGATTAGACTGATGGACTGCCTGTGCTTGATGTGAGCTCTGCTGTAGCAGTGGGGGTGTATAAATTGAGAGAGGTTTATTCAAGCGGCTCTTTTTAGAGACGTGACTCATACTAGCACCCCGCTGCATCGTGCACACAGTACAAACTTATTATTTTAGATATCTGCCCCAAATACTGTTCTCTGGATTGCAATTTTGTTTGATTCATTAACCAGGAATGACAGGAATTGCCTCCAGACATCATCTGTTAGTAGATAAAACTGTGGGCTTTTTTTTTTTGTTGTAATTTTTCTAATTTGCTCGGGATTTACTGGCTTTCACTGGACTTTAACAGATCCAGAATTACAGGGGTTTGACACTGTGAAAACCACGCGTGAGACAAAATCAAATCAGCAAATTGGGGCTGTTGAAAAGATGCTGTAGTGGCTATTAGCAGTTCCTGTTGCGGTGAAACCATGAACATACAGATAACCACTAGAATAATTTTCTACTGTGCAAGTTCTAAAGCTATATTGAGCAATTTTTACTGTGATTTTAAAGCTTTGTCTTTCATTTTGTGTCATAGATAATGACTAAATAAAGATATTGATAATAAAAATCTGATTCAAAGGAGGTGTGTTTGATGCTGAGATGCATGCCAAACTACAATAACCAACTCCTTGCTGTTTTCTTTCATCTAACGCAGCGTGTTTGCCTTTCATGTCTCCCTTCACACCTCACCCTTTGAACTGTGTCACTCTCCTTGAGAGATTTAAAACCTTTGCTTCTCTTAGCTAATACAGCTAACATGCTAGTGATGCTAAAATTCCTCTTAGGTCATCAATTAAACCCCTACAAACTCATCTCTGTGCATCAAACTTGCATATTTAGAAGTTCCTCTCATTGGAAATAAACCATCGCTGCTTTAAAATGGCTTGGAAGTAACTCTAAATGCTGTCGCTGCAGCTCAGCACACCAGCTCACCTACGACTCTGCTCAGATACTGTAAAACTGCTATATGCTACACAATGGCAAGCTTTAATGTAATTTGAGCCAGAAACCGATTCTAATAAAGAAGAAGACTTGCAGAAAGCGCCACTCCGCCGATTAGGTTTTTGTGTGGTTGACTACATATGAAACTACAGAAGTCTGAATTTGAGACTGTCGCTCATGTTTCAATGCAAAAATCGTCAGCCATTGTGTTGACTGCTCTTTTCGCTCATGATGTGTCTTCCAGCATGTAAAAAGCACAATATGAACATGTTAAAACTTGATTGTTATATACTTATAAGTTACCTTTTTGTATCCTGTAAGTAACAGCTATGCAGATGACAGCTAGTTTTACAAAGGAATTGGTGATTGTGGGGCAAGAGTCCACTTTCATTTTATATTTTTTTAGGATTTACAAACAATCTCTTCTGCCATCCTCTCTTTGACATGGTTAAATTCCTGCAATAGCTGGCATCTCACCAGCTCATGGAACAAGGTGACCTTAACTTGCAGAGAGTGCAGTTAATTGCCTTTCATACTCTTGTGCTCTCGCTCCCTGAATAGACGCAAGTTCAATCCAATCCTCGTGCGACGTTTAAGGTCAGACCTTCACCAGGCAAAGTTCATTAGCCCAGCAGAGAGAGCTGCGGTGTCGCTGCACGCACACACACGCAGGTGTAAAGATTTATCCGTCCATGTGTAATGTTTGTTACATCGGCCTCAAACCGCTATAAACATGACACTTGAGCGGTCTCAGCCGTGAAGACAGCAGAGGGCAGCGGTGACTGGAACTGTGTCAGACAAATTGTTATTCCTCCTTTCACTTCACGGAAACACGCTGTAGTAACGGCTGGAGGCTGTTTACTGTAGTGGACAATGTGTGTTGACTGGTTTACAGATGTCACAGTTCCCCCGCCCGAACCAGGACTGTTGTGTAACGCATGTATTGTTGGAGTGTCTCGTTAGTTTTTTATTTAAGTGTACACTGATTCCAGCTTTTTGATATTGGGGATTTGCTGCTTTTCTCAATTGTGTGGAATTCTAACAATGAAAAGAGCTGCAACAGTTTGTCAGTTAACCCCCTGAACCCTAATCAGTTTCTGGGCTCACATTGTTATACACCCTGGGCTCATTTTTTACAGCAACATAAACTCCTGCACCTCTTTGGAAACAGCACAACCATGGCCAAAAGTAACTCAAAAAGGCCTTTTGTGCAGTATGACACAGTTGTAATGCCAAAAATCATATAAAAGAAAAGCTAAAAGTTGAATTTCTTCAGAGTTCAGCACAGTTCAGCTGAAAAGTCCCTGATTTTTTTTTTCCACATAACTGTTAGTCACAGCTGAGTCACTCCTGGCTTCACGGTTACACTGAGAAACGCAGATTTTATTTTGGTTTTCACAGCATTTGGTTAGAGCAAATTGTTTATTTTGGACGAACTTTGAGTGAGACCCATAGAACGAAGTGATTTCGATTAAATATCATCATTTTAAGCTTAGCTTTGGGTTATTTTTCTGACTAAACAGCATCGTGACAGATGAGCAGTTCAAGGACTGCTGGAAAGTGCAAAAATCTGATGATTTTTTCTGTTTTCTGACTTTGATAAATGGTGTAATTTTGGGGATTGTTTGAAAAAATAAAGTGCCTGTCAAAGCTGTGGTTTCAGGGTTTGGAGGGTAAATGAGCAACTAATTTGATATTTGTCTGACTTTTTTTTTTTTTTTTTTAAACAGTCAAACTTTTATCGGTTGCAACCTCTCAAATATGATTTTTTTTCTCTTGGGGTTTGGACTTCAAACATTTGAATACATCACCTGGAGCTGTATGATCACTTTTCAGTGGTTTATAAACCAAAGATCAGTCAAATAGTTGAGGAAAAATGATTGGCAGATTGTTCCATAATAAAAGTATAATCATTTTCAGTCCTCAACTGAACATATTTGGATTTTGAAACATTGGCTGTATAAAACAAGAAATCTAGAAAATGATGGTGAGCATATTCACTAACTGATGCAGAATTAATCACAAAGATAGTGGCGTTTGAACTGCCTTCATAAAGTTATACCCAAACGCTGTATAATATTCCTCTTTCACCCGCTCATGCACAGTCGGTGGTGACTTGAATATCGGGAGAGGCCGGCGATCAGTCTCTCGCCCAAGGACACATTGACAAGTTGATCCAGGGATCAAACCACCAACCCTGCGATTAATTGACAACCCGCTCTATCTCCAGAGCTGCAACACCAGGAGACCGTCAAGAGATAATTGACAGATTAATCAATAATGAAAATAATCATTAGTTCCCGTACTACCTCTGACTGTGTATGTCTGCCGGCTGATACAAAATATATTGGCTCAGAGCGTCCCTTCAATCTTTCTGAACCAGACTGGGTGGGTTTTGCCTTGAGCACCACTTCCCCCCTCCTGTTCTCTCAGTGTTCACCCATATGTTGACCTGAGCTCATCAGCAGTGCTGTTAAGTTAAGAGTGCATTTGTGCACTTCGGTGTCTGATACTCAAATACTCGATGCTCCTGGCATCCCCGTTTTTCTTGCCCCCGCATATCTGTGGATGCTGCATGCATGTATATCCTTTAGGTATGCGAGCGTTTTGTGCGAGAGTGCATCTGTGAGTGTTTTTTCAGCAGCAGATTAGATGCAGCAGAGTGTTTTTATTTTGTCCCCTGTGGTCCCTTGTCTCCTAACCTGAGCCGACATAGAATAAGGTCACTGCGGGGCGCCAAAACAGAGCCAGCGATAAAAATAATACAAATTCATAGTACGGATCACATTTTTGGTCTCAGCTTTTTATAAAACAACTGAGTTGTAGCCATGGCAATGGAGAGGAAAATATGCATGTAAACAGGTCTGTCAGCGAGGCTAAGATACTATATTCTGTTCGTGACACAACCGTTTTCAAAACATTGTGCTTTTTTTATTCATTACAAGAAGGCAGTAAAAGTTGCATTAGTGTTTGGTTACAAGCCTCCTTCGATTCCCCCACAGGTTTTCAGAAGATTCACACACCCACAGATGTGCCACAGGGCTGTGCAGACTCTTATTTTGGAAATGCCACTCCCTTTTGTTTCTTAAAAAAGAAATGACTGTTTTCCTGTATTGAGATGTTCCACTCCACATCCCTGATACGTACACTGTTGCTGTGACATTTGATGTATTCTTGCAGTAAGTTGTGGCATAAGGTGCATTTGTGAAGTGGTTGAAGATGTTTATTTGACAACACGGGAAAGAATCTCGGTTGCTCAGTGTGTTTATCGATGTAAGTATTTTGTACATTGTATTTTGAAGCCGTGTGTGTGTTGGCCTAATTGCTCTTCCAAACGTATGCTTTACAAAAAAGCTGCAAATTATGAGTTATTATATGTGTTTGTGTACGTGCTTGAGACACAGCCCTAAGAAGGATTGACTTCATGTTGTGAAGGCAGCGGGCGGGCCGAGCTTTTAAAAACCGCAATATTGAAATGACATTTTCCCCGTGTATATGAGTCAGATATTAAAAGTTCAGACATTGTACTTTGCCATTTATACCCGTGTCTGCTAATGGAGTTGATGGAGCCAAACAAAGCTATAAAAAAAATAAAATAAATGTGTGTATCCGTCCCAGGGCCAGAACCAGAGGATCAGCCCGTGCTCCACCCTGACCAGCAGCACTGCCTCCCCACCTGCAGGCAGCCCCTGCTCCACCCTCCCCCCTACCATGCCTGGCCAGGCTGGCAACAAGGACTGCGCCTACGGTTCTGTCACCAGTCCCACCTCGACACTGGAGAGCAGGGACAGCGGGATCATCGGTAAGATCTGCGCTCAGATTTGCTAATAAGACCACTAACAAACATGAATGCATTTATGAGATAGTGTTCTTCGCCCTCTGAACCTCAGGAGTTTGTTGCTGCTTTGACATGAATAACATAACATCCTGTGCTTCTATGGAAACGGCACGACTATGGCTAGAAGCAGGGAGAACTCAAAAATTGTGTACCATAAATCATAGAAAACAATTCAGTTCAATTCAATTTTATTTGTATAGCGCATATTTACAGTCATCTCATAGTGCTTCACAAAGGCAGAGACAGAAACACCCAACAATCCAAAACATTTGGATTCCCTATAAGCTTCAGCAGTCCGCAACAACAAAACAGAAGTTGGATTTCTCTCTTTGTTTTACAAAATAGAAAAAAACCTGAAATCAACATGTTCAGCATTTTTTCCAAGTGTCTACACTGGCGGGAAAATGGTGCACTTTCTGATCCTGGCACATTTTTCCTCACTGTGGACTAAGTTTTCACTGCAATGTAAAGTCAACAGAAACAGCACAACTATGGCTAGAAGTAGACAAAAAAGAAAATGTCCTTCGTGCAATATGAGACAGTTATAATGCCGTAAATTCTAAAAAAAATAAATAAATAAAATAACAATAATAACAATAATAATTCATTTTATTTGTGTAGCGCTTTTCAAGAACTCAAAGACGCTTCCCAGGATAAAAGCATAAAAGCAATAAACAGTAAGAAACAAATACAAAGATAGACAATATAGAAATAACAGCAAGCAGAGAAGAAAAAAAAGAAAGAAAGAAAAATTGAAAGTTGAAATTCTTTGCTAATTCATTTGACTAAAATTGAAAAAACCTGGAATCAACACGTATAATATTCTTCCAAGTGCTCTCAAATGCGTTGTACTACCGTTGAGTGACTCTACATACTGTACATATTTTACTGCTGACATTTTCAGTTTGTTTCCATATTTGTCTCGTATCTGCTCCGTGACACACAGGCTACAGTTCAACCCAGTCTAGCCGAAAAGTCCCTGAATTGTTTTCACATGACTGCTGGTCACACCTGAGTTACTCACTTCTTTCTGGTTGTGCGAGGCAGCACTGAATGCTTTGTTTATTGCATGTTCTGTCAGTGCTAGTAGTTTATTTTTAACAAATTTTTAAATGAGACGTGTGTAATATTGAGATTTTGACAAGTTATCATGTATTTAAGCTTCAGTTTGATGAGTTTTCCTATTGAACAGCACATCACAGATCAGTAATTCAAGTACCGTCTGGCGATTCTGTCTTTTGACAATTTCTGGCTCCGATAAATAGTGTTAGTTTGCACATTTTTTATAAATAGATAACATCAAACCTGCCAGTGGCTTTTGGGGTTTCAGAGGGTTAAAGGATAAAACTGATCTCATCAAATATTTTTGCTGTTGTCAACAAATATCATGTCTCTTAGCAAAATTAACAACATTTCAGGGCTTTCTGACTTCCGCAACCTGTCTGAGGCACTCTGACCTAAATTCATTCAGTGTATTAGTGTGCTAGTGAAGCTAAAAGTCTGAATCAACCACAATCTATTTCGAACGGTTAAAAGCAGCAGCAGCAGCTTTTTCTGGTAGTTTGTTCAAATCTGGGGTGTAGTGTTCCTAAACAACGACTGCTTTCGCTAAGTCTGAGCAAGTGCAGTCTAAAAATTGCATCAGTTGAAACTGTGATACTTTTCCTGGTGTTTACTCCCACGGGAATTTCAATTCAGTCACCTTATCGCGTTGACATCAACTGTGGCATTTTGTGCGTCATGAGAAAGAAAACAGAAGAGCTAAAGCGCTCGCTGATGCGAAGCATTCTGCTGATGTCAGAACAGGTGGCATCATTGTTTCCTGGCAACAATGGCGAACAAGTTTGTTCGAGGGAAGCATTACATCAACGTCCCATTGATTCAGTAAATAAATGTGAAAGCAGATGGACTCGGGTGGGTGAAAGGAAGACAGTGAAAACAAACCTGGTGTTGGAGAGAAAGAAAAAAATCCTAAAAAGAAGGTGTTGTTATTTACGTTTGCAGCCACTCTGACCAGCTATTCTGAGAACATGGAGCGAGGCGGCAAATACGGCGAGGGATCGCGGGGAAACCTGAAACTGTGGCAGTCCCAGAAATCAGGCATGGACTCGTTCCTGTACAGGGTGGACGAAAACATGACCGCCTCCACCTACAGCCTCAACAAAATCCCTGAGCGCAACCTGGAGAGCATGTCCTCCCACTCTGCCCACTCCATCCCTCTGTACCTCATGCCCCGCCCCAACTCTGTGGCTGGTGAGTCCCTTTGCCTCTTCCCCTTGTTCTCCTGTGAAAGTCTTTTTGGTTATCTGCCTGGTGAATGGCAACGCAAGTGTACAAATTCTGCAAAGATAGAGCTCTATTTCTAGCAAAATTTGATTGCACTGCTGGTGTTGTTTCTGACTCCTTACATGCTCCCTCTTCACTCCTTTCAACTTTTCTTACCTTGCTTGTTTTCTTCCAACATGAACCCTTTGAATTCTTTGATGTCTTTCTGTGTGACTCCTGTGATCACAAGTATAAGAATGAAATATTAATATCCGGTGGGTTTTGCAGAGGGATCTGTGTGACAAAGCCCATATTGTGCAAAAAAAAAGTTTGTTCGAGTAGCTTCAGTGACTTGTTTTTTTCTCAGGAATTTCTTGTAATGTCACCATCTGGATTGTTTCCTACAAATATCACAGATTTTTCTAAATTATTGGGATGTCAAGCAGCTGTACTCTTGTGGATGGTTTAATGTCTGTCGTTAATTGACTGCTCCCAAAACCACATTTCTCCTGCAAATATGGGCTAAATCAGCCTAAATTTCCCCATTATCTGTGCTTGGTCTTACGAGGAGCTCAGCTGTGATTCAATTTCTCGTAATTTTTGCAGCGTTCCTAATCACCGAAAGGAGGGAAAAACAACTGTTGTTTTCTTGCTTTCATGGGTTTATGTCGAAATTTCGGGAAGCTGCAAATCCGCAGTGGTATTTTGTTAAACTCTCACAGCCCTCTGGTGTAGATTGAAACCACAGAGAAGAATAATACAGTCTAGGAAGAAAAAAAAAAAAAAACAGCTTCTGCAGAATAACATACTGCGGCTGGAAGAATATCACATAGGAAAACTGGCATTTGTATTGCTAACGGATGTCTCATTGATGTGGGTTTCTTATTGTAGGCCATCGCTGCTTCACAAGCCTCCCAAAAGTAACAGTAAATACATCAAGAAAAATGTCTGTTTCATAACACTGAGGCAGCCCTAATGATGCCTGATTGTATTATTGTTCTCATGATCAGAGAAGCTGCTACAGATGATGAGCTCTATTATGCACTTCTTCCCCACTCCTACTAGAAAAAAACAAAACAGGTAGCATTTCGCTAAACGGTGTAATGTGCTTGACAAGGCCCGTCACTGCAGCTCTGACCCTCTCTTTATGCTGGTCATGTTCTGCTGTTTGACACCGCTGTCTGGCAGCGCAGCGACTCTGCCGGGTTTTTTTTTAGAGATTCATCCTCGATCTCATCTCCGCCCCTCAATACCCAGATCTTCAAAAGAGAGCTGGCTTAAAAGGCACGCGATAAGCTGCGGATGATGCAAAAAATACAATAGTAGAAAAAAAGAAAAACGGAAGAGCAGTGAGAGAAGAGTTTTTTAAAAAGAGGAAAAGATGATGATTTCTCTGAAGGTATTTTGTCAGGAACAGGAATTCCATATTGAGGAGAGGGATGCATGTGGAAGAGGAGTGAGAGGGAGTTTCGTAATCTCTCTTTCTCACTCCGTCTCTCTCCTCCACAAAGAATTATTAGATGATGTAGGGATGGGAGGCGAGCGCAGGCTGAGGATTGGCTGGGCTCACACAGCAGTGGAACATCAAAGCCCCAGGCATTAACCGTTTCTATCCCCCAGAGTGACAGAGAGACTCGCTTTGATGTGTGGAGAGAGAAAGATACGAGAGCAGAAGGCGACTGGGGAGGGAAAAAAAAAAAAAAAAAACCAGGAGGGAGGGGGCTCCTCTATTACCTAATGAAGGCAGTGCGTTGGTAGAGCTGAGGATGGATATGGAGGAAGGAGAAACCAACTACACTCTCGCTGATTCCTTCTCCCTTCGTGGTGCTCATACAGCTCATTGGAGAGTTGACCAGAACTGAAAAATTACGGGACTCGGGAGACAGATTTTGAAAGAAGAATGGCCAAAATTGATGCAGCAGAGGTTGAGAGATCCGGACTGCTACGGCTCAATCTCCAAAAAAAAAAAAAAAGGCTGGATCCTACATGTTGAAACTATATCATGTGTTTTTATTAGACCCTCCCTGACTGGCTGATTTTTGCATTTGTGTCATATAAAAGTTATGAAAAAGGTTCAAATGTGGATGAAAATGAGGCAAGCGGTTGTAGATTTAGCTGTGCAAAGGGTTAAAATATGATATACTGGCATGATTTTGACTACATTTTGATTTAATGACTTAGCAATGAGCTTTAAGGGATTATGAAGCTTCAAGTTGGAGATGGAGGAGCTTTAAGGAAAATTGAGTTTTAGAGTTGGGATTGGATCATTCCATTCCAAATCATGATTTGGGGGGATTTTGTGATCAGAAACTATAAATATGTATAAAAATAACTTTGAAATTTTAGCTTAATATATGTAATATTTTCCGAGACCCACATCGGTCCATTTTTTCAGTTATTTAATTTAAAGTCACTAAAACTAAAATATTTCTAGATAGGCTAATAAAAGTAGAATAGAATTGTGGAATTTTTAAATAGGGGCACATTTTTCAGATCCCGCTATGTAGGCTGGAGAAAAATCTACTTACCCAATATTGCAGACTCTGAATTAATGACATAATGAGAAATGAAAGTGAAAATTTCAGGCTCCTATTCTTAATAGTTTTTGTTAGATATTACCAGTCAAAGTTTCAGCGCCTGAGAAAATGTGCTGAAAATAGGTCGCTTTTTTTCGTCTTTTTGTTACCTCGCAAAATATTTGATGTATCAAGCTGAAATTTCACAAATATCAATAATATATTATATGACTTTCAGGACATAGTCCAGCAGAAATATTTCTGAAAATGTAATGATTGGAGATGTAAGAGTTGAAAAATCAAAAAGTGGTAAATTTACAATGATGCAGCTACAGCAGACCTCAAATGCCAAGATTATTTATAGTTTTTGCTTACAAAAACAGTTCAAACAATTAAAAAAAACTGTTGCAGTTGGTAGCACTGTTGCCTCGCAGCTAGAAGGTCGCCGGTTCGCGTCCCAGTGGGGGCACCAGAATCTTTCTGTGTGGAGTTTGCATGTTCTCCCCGTGCAGCGTGGGTTCTCTCTGGGTTCTCCGGCTTCCTCCCACACAGTCCAGAAACATGCTGAGGTTAATTGGTGATTCTAAATTGTCCGTAGGTGTGAATGTGAGTGTGCTTGGTTGTCCGTCTCTAAGTGTGGCCCTGTGATGGACTGGTGACTTGTCCAGGGTGTCCCCTGCCTTCACCCTAAGTCAGCTGGGATAGGCTCCAGCCCCCCCGCAACCCTCGTGAGGATTAAGCGATGTATAGATAATGGATGGATGTTGAAGCTCATCTGCAATTTAAGAAAAAAATATCTCCAAAAGTTTTTGACAAATTAAGCTAAAATGTCATGGATACTATTTTAAATATCTTTAGTTAATAACAAAAAAAAAAAAAAAAGTTTCAATCAAATCAGAGATGATGGAGCAGAAGGACCCTGATGATTTGAGATGGAATAACACAGAATATATATTTTTTAAATTATGAGTTTGAAGCTGGTAATTTGCAGTAACACTAAAATGAGATAATGCCTGCTTTAACTGTTTATGATCAAAATTTGTCGTGATATGTCGAGATGACTCAGTGGTTTTCTTCTCAGACATTATAGAGCTGTTTTCCCGGGGACTGAGTATATTTGTGATGCAAACCTTTTCTCAAAGCGTTTTCTGATCTCCAGCGGTTTAAGAGTGAAATGAAAATAAAACCAGCTTGAGACAACAAAAGAAGAGCAAGAAAAAATACATCAACTTCTGAAAAATCCCACCAAAACATGACCTATATAGACATGTAGACTGCAAAAACAAACTCAGTTATGGCTTCTTTTGCTGAAGTTTCAACGTATTTTTCTTTGGCAACAACAGAAGTGCAACCGGAGTGGTTTATTATGTCCACGATAATAGAGGAAAAAAAAGAAAAAGTATGTCTTTTCAGAAATGGTACACCTGTTACAGAACTTACTCTGAATATCCATCACAGGGACTCTTTATTCTGCAGAGTGCCGACCTTTCATCTCCACGGTATTGTGGTGAAAATACAAATCTCAGAAAATAATATCTCAAAACTCTGGCAACAAAAAAGCAAAACTTTGGGGAAAAACATTCCCTCTGTGGTAAGTAAAAAAAAAAAAAAAAGAGCATGTTTCAGATTCTGACCCTTTCTGACGTTGTGAGGATTTATATGCGCCGCCTTGTAGAACTGCTTGGGGACTGTGAAATCCCTCCTCATACTAAGACTAAAGAGGTATAAAACACACTCACTGAACTCACTCCTTAGCCTGTAAATGAGCTAAACGAAGGTAACGGCTCACTTGAGATAACATTTTTCAATTTAGGAGGGGATGAACAATTATTATCGATTTCCTTTTCTTCCATATTTAACCGATTTCCTTTTCGTCCCTGGTCCCACCTCTGCTGAAATCCGTGGAGTTCTGACACCCGGAAATGCTGTTTAAGTGCCTCCGTTATTTATCATCTCTCGGGGAAGTGAGAGGAGAATAGTGAGGCATATAGAGCAGCAGCAGCAGCAGCCACCTCGTATCTGAGATGACTAGTCAGCTCCCTGGCTGATACTGTGACTGGCTCCGGCCCAGCTGGTCTTTAAGTGTGTAAATGTGTGTGTTTGTGCACGCATGCGTCACCCTTCAAACCAGGAAGTATCCGACGCCGCTGTCGTTGCTCGAAGCTCCTTGTTTCCTCGCTTCTTTTCATTCTCCTGCTCCCTCCATTCTTACCTCTTTATTTCTCTTCACTACACTTGTAGTCTTAGCGCATTGGCTCAGGAGCTGTGAATGTGATCCCCAGCAGCCTGCTGCATTGCAGATAGAGATGATGAGCACACAGATTTGAGTTCTCACATTCAGTTGAAAAGAGAGAAAAGAAGACTTTCCAGCCCCTGTAGCCCTGAGTCATTCTTCCTTTGCTTGAGCGGCAGATTAATGCCTCCACTGTCTCTGCTTTTAGCCCAGTTGGACGACCGGCACCCCCGTTCCCATCAGGGCCAAGCCTCCAGCATTCTCAGCTGCCATTTTCCCTCCATTTTGGGAAACCCATGTGGCTCATTTTTTGGGTCCGTGGTTGGGGTGACTCAGGCGTGCACACACAAAGCCACGCAGCACTCGACTAAGCTCGACTCCGGTGACACAGAAGCCACAGTTTGAACCGAGGACAGGACAAGGATCAGTGGCGAGGTGCTGGCGAGAGGTGGAGGTTTAGAGGCCTGCTCCTCGGAGGATTACTTTAGTTTTTAGAGTTACTGCAGAGACAGACAGAGGAGCCATGGATTCCAGTCACACCTCTCCCCAACTCCTTGAATTTGACTTTGGATCTTAGAACCTCGAGCTATTTCAGGTATAGTGCGAGACAAAAAGGATTCCCAGCTCTGATTCTCCTCATTGCCAGAAATAAATGTGTGACTTTTGTTAAAGTTTTGCTGTTTCTAATATTAACCCTCACAAGCCCAGGTCGTCTTCTTTGCTCCTGTCACATTTTTAATCACTGGGGGAAATATAGAGTCCTGAACCTCTGTGGAAACAGCACAGCCATGGCTACTAGTAAAGAGAACTCACAGGTGTCTCCAACAAAGCATTTCCCAAGTGCCCACAGGTGTTAACAATACTTGAACAAAGTGCTCAAACTCAGCCAACCATCGATACTGTACTACTTACATTTTTAATATGTTTGTTTCCTATCTGCTCTGTGAAAACACAGCCTGCATTTCAGCCAAAAAAAATCCCTGAATATTTGTCAATTAACTGTTGGTTGCGACTGAGTTACTCATGACTTCTCCATTGCAACAAGAACCACAGAATTTTCTGTTTTTTACAGAATCTGGTTTATGCAAATGGTAGATTTTTGGATAATTTTTAGACAATAGCTTAATTTTGATGAAATATTACAATTGTGAGCTAGTTTTGGTGATTTTTCCAGATGGAACTATACGTCACACATGACTAGTTCAAGAATCATTTACAACTGAAATATGATTGTGCTTTTTTTAGGGTTTGTAGCTCTAATATTTTTTTAAACAGATCATGCCTTTTAAAACTGGCAGTTGCTTTTGGGTTTTAGAAGTGCTGAAGGTTTACATTTCAAAAGTTCTACACACAAATGACCACAAAGAAACCAATGAGGATGAATACTGAAAGGGGATTTAATAGTGTTTTTTGTTTTTTGTTTTTGCATCATTTTTGGCCACAAGGACCCACAGGTGTTAACAGTACTGCGAAAATGCTGAGTGCCTACTTGAGATATTTTCCATACTTGTGTCCTCTCTGCTTTGTGTAAACACAGCCTGCAGTTCAGCCGAAAAGGAAGTCCCTGAATTTTTGTCACGTCACTGTTGGTTACAGCTGAGTCATTCGTGGCCTCTCAGTAGCAACAAGCAGCACACAAGTTTTTTGTTTTTTAAAGAGTCTGGTTTATGCTAATGTTTTTTTTTTTTGGCTGATTTTTAAACGGTGCTCGTAGAATTTCATGATTTTAATGAAATATCCCAAATGTAAGCTTGGATTTGGTCAGTTTTCCCAATGGAACAGAATGTCACAGATAAGTCGCTCCCTCAGAAACTAGGAAATCCAATATGTGCTGATTTTTACCGTTTCTGGCTCTGACTAATGGTGCAATGTTGGCAATTCTTTAAAAATAACATGCCTTTCAAACCCGCCGGTGGGTTAAAGGTTAAATCTAGTTTATTACGACTAAAACTTCTTTGATGTAACGTTGTCCATCTACTTTGTTGACCAATCCTGAGATGTGGGAACACAGATGTGGCAAGAAACACAAGTAGTCAGAAGATCAGACAGATTTTAAACCAGCCCTCTGGCTAACCAAAATTTATTTGGCAGAACAAATGCTGGCAAACTATAAAGTTATTATCCAAACTGATTATCCATCACTGACTTCTTGGTTTCCTGTGCTGTGAGGGTTTATGACTGATATGCTTTCTGTAGCTTTTTACCTAAAAATGAAGTAGCTTGAACAATCCAGTTAAATGTTTGGGTTGTTTAAAACCTGCATCATCCGACTCCTTATGTGTCTCGCCCCATCAGACTTTATTGCAGTAATATTGCTCTGTTCCCAAACCTCAGAAATTACCTCTGGGAGTGGAGAGTTTCTCATAACCGACGGAAAATATGGCCACTGCTATGAAAATCAGACCCAAGTTGATATAAAACTGTATTATCTTTTAATTAAAACTGCAGAAATACACAGATTTGGAATGTAAATAGATGATTTTCACCCAAATTGTTCTTCCAGACTCCTCAAACTACTAATATGCGGTAATTTCGTTTTCTGCTCTCCATTTTAAGCTCTTGTTGTCTCGATGAGGTGACTTTGCAACTCAACTCTCACCTGTTTAGAAACCACCAACCCCTGGTAGTTAAGCCCCTTAATCACCCACAACACTCTGTCCAACAACAAAATCCAGGAGGGATTTTATTGTGAGATGGAGTGTCTTGTCTTTCACCTCTAACTGAACCGCGGGGTTCAGGTGTGACGGAGAATCAAGTCCGCTGCTTACTCACACTGGCGGCGTCTAATCTCATTTAACATTCAGTGGTTCCGAGTGTTGGCCCTGAAGACACAGTGTGGTGTGAACAATCAGCAGCCAGCGTCAGACGGCGCTCGCTCCATGAATAAGACATTTGTCTGCTGAGCTAATTAATCCTGAGAGGGGCCGGATGGCATCTGCCTCCGTGCCGCGTGACAGACACTGAAAGGAGGGAATTTTAGGACAGAACCATGTAGGGCTGGCTTTCTCTTTCCTGTAGGAGTTAGCAAGTAAGAGGAGCGGGAGCCTGACAACTGCCTCAGGGTACTGGCATGAACCTTCGCCACCTTCTTGTGCGAGTGTGTGCGTGCGGTTTGTTTACTGTATGTCTCTGAATATACGCACCTGCTGATAATAGTATCCTGTTTCTGTCTTCTTTCTCTGAAAAAAAAAAAATCCCTCTCTCCATCACACAAACACACACACAGCTACCAGTTCAGCCCACCTGGAGGACCTGGCATACTTGGATGAGCAGAGGCACACTCCATTACGCACCTCGCTGCGCATGCCCAGACAGAGCACCACCTGCGGGCCGGGTCGCTCCGGGCAGGACCTGAGAGGTGAGCAACCAAGCCGAGTTAAACACAAACACAGTCCCTCCTGAAGGCTGTTCAGTCTGACGGATTGAATTCAGCGTCTTTACACTGGCTGTGTGAGCTGCACACGTGACAGACATGTCTCTGAATTATTTAATTGTGAATTAATCCAATGTGTTTGCACCATAAAGATGTTGGCACATAGGAGAATTTGCTCTCTTTTAAAGGCTCTATTTAAAAGACAATTAAAAAGTGTCTTAACTTCAAGCAGTTTCAAAAAAGTGAAAGTTAAATTTGTTTGATTATATGTTTTGCAAAAACTGAAAACCCTGGAACATTTTCCAAGTGCCCAGAGATGATAACGACACAAAATAGTAGCTTTACCTACTATATATATTTAACTAATTAAATTTTAAAATTGTTTTCCTACTCGTCTCCTCTTTGCTCTTTGTAAACACGGCCTGCAGTTCGGTCGAGAACTTCCTGAATTATTGTCACATGACTGTTGAGTGCAGCTTAGTCAGTGATGACCTTTTGGTTTTGCAGAGGAGTGCAGAATTTTTTGTTTTTTACAGAATGTGGTTAGAGAAAGCTGATTATTTTTTGCAATTTTTAAAATGAGACATGTAGCTGTTTGTCACAGATCAGGAGTTCAAGGACCGACAAACAACAATTTTCTTGTTTTTGCGGTTTCTGACTGGATAAATTGAATCATTTTGGTGATTTAAAAAAACAAAAACAAACATATCAATGCCCTTTACTTCGTCGGGAGGTTTTGGAGTTCAGAGGGTTAAAAAAGAAACAAAAAGCTGCTTGCTACAAGGACTGACTCAAGCACTGAAGCGCTGGATGTAAATATAGGAACTGCGGTATGACCCAATGTGCAGACATTTGCTGTTAAAAAAAAACAAAACACTGCAAGCAGTCAAAGCATTCAACCATCCCTGACATTCACCTTAATTAAAAACAAAATGCTGCTTTTGTTTCAGGTACTGCTGCGATTAGCCAGTTGCATCACATCCGACACAGTTCAGAAGGAAACAAAAGGCCACTGTTTCCCATCCACAAACAACACAACTCAAAGCAGCTGAGAAAAGCAAGGCAGAGCTGCATGACGAGCGAGTTATTTTTAAAATTCAAATGAAAATCAGTGACGCTTAATGTGCAGTTTGCAGTGTCTTTCAGATGCAAATGCCCGCATGTGTCCCCGCGCTCAGCCCAGTGACGGGCGCAGGTTTATCAGGGATGTCGTCAGCTGTTGTCTGTTGCGTCCCCGTGTGTGAAACAGGCGAGTCAGTGCGGCCGAGGGAGTACACAAAGAGTGTTTTGTCAGACTCTACCACTACAAAGCTAAAATTTGTCCCTGTGCTTAACATTAGCAGGCAGTGTGCGCTTCACTGCGCTCAGTTCGAGTCTAGCTCACAGCGAGCGTCTCTGTGATTGAGCAAACCTCCTCAGCCTCCTTACCAAATGGCCAAATGGCCTGATGTCACAACATTGTGTGTCCTCTCGCCCTTCTTCCTCTGTCACTTAACCAGTAATGAGCACCGTAATGGCAGCCCTCCGCTACCCAAGCGAACACAAATATGCGTCCCTGTGTGTTTTAAACACCTGTTAAGACCCCACTTAGCCGAGGAGAGCGCTCGGCTGAGCTGCGATGTGATTCCCCTGCCCAAGGGAAGCTGGCTGCAGACAAATGCAGAGTGAAGGAGTGAGAGAGAGGCAGGGAGAGAGATGGAGACGGACGCAACGGAAGAGAGAAAAAAAAAAAAAAAAAAGACAGAAGACGGTCGGAGACGGGGAGCGAGTTCCTCTCAGAGCTTCACTGCTACTGCCAGAGCCACTTGTTTCAACCTTTCTCCTCTAAGGGCAGCCAAGTGTGTTTACAAGCCAAACGACTGCGTCCTAGCATGCTTTCTGCCTCCTCGGATCAGTGTCAGAGCCTCCCCGAGTGCACCGCTCCTGTGGTTTCACCGAGAGAGACAGAGAATGAGACACAGGGAGACGAGATGTGAAGGCGAGCGAATTGAAAAGCGGGGTTTTCCCCCCCTTGAAGACAACAGGAGGACAAATTCCAACCCTATTACCTCAATTTAGTCTTGAGATGTTCGGTTACACACTTACAGGTAGTCGGAGGTTTGATTGATTGCATGTTCACGTCACAGTTTTCATAATTTTTGTTTGTGGCATGAAGGATGGCAGTGCTTTTATTCCAACACTTTGGATTTCTAGGGTTCAGATTAAAATAACAATTTGTCATAAATATTCAAGGTCCCAACAGGATAAATCATATTTTTTGTGACCTCAAAGGCAAATCTGGGGATTTTATAGCAAGCTTTGGTTCCTGGAGAGACAGCACAAAGATTTCTGACAGATTCGACATCACAGAAAGTGTCTTGTTGGCTGTTTTGCGTGTGAAAAAAGGGAAGTTACGCACTTACAGGTAGTCAGATATGTGATTGATTGCTTCCTTGCATCACAGTTTTAATAATGTTTGTGCGGCATAAAGGATGGCAGTGCCTTTAATGAGTAATTCCAACACTTTAAATGATTAGAGTTCCCATGAAATTAGTCATACAGTGAGTCTTTGGGATCTCATACGTAGCTTAGATTCACATAGAGACAGTACAGATATTTTTTGACAGATTCTACATCACAGAAAGTGTCTCGTTGGCTATTTTGCGTGAGAGAGATGTTAAGTTACACACTTACAGATAGTGGGACGCTTGATTGATTGCCTGTTCGCGTCATGGTTTTCATATTGTTTGTGTGGCATGAAGGGTGGCAGTGCTTTTAATCTGTGATTCCAACTGGAGTTCCGATTGCCTTGATAGAGATAGACGTGAATATTCGGGGTCCCAACAGGATGAATCATGTTTTTGACCTCCAGTATCAAATGTGGGGATCTGTAGAGACAGCAGAAGGATTCCTGACAGATTCTACATCACAGAAAGTGTCTCGTTGGCTCTTTTGCGTGAGAGACTGCTGGACTTCCAGATGAGTTACAGCGGCGGAGAGCTGCCGGTTATGTATCGGTCAGGTGGTTGCCAGCTGACAGATGCAGCTCCCTCTCTCTCTTCTTTCTCTCTTTCTCTCTCTCTCTCTCTCCGGTTGATTTTTTGTCGAATCTTCTTTTGATGCCAGCCATCGGGGGCCCAAGCTGTGCTGCTGTTTTGAGGAGAGTGAGTCAGACTGTAATGGACCTTCTTGTGCTCCTGCCTGCCTACCTCTAAGATTTACCACCCACCTTATCTATTCACTGCAAACTCTCTCACATAACTGTACACTGCACACACATTTTCTCCCTCATTTATCTTTACTTTCCCTCTCTTTGTCTTTGTCGCTTTCCGTCCCCCTACTCTCTCTCTCTCTCTCTCTCCCTCATCCCTCCCTCTGCCGCCGTCTCCCTACCTTCACATACACAAAACAGGATTTGTGTTCTAGCTGATGGCTGCAGCTTTTGGCTGATAAAAATATGTTCGACTCCAGAGGGTTTTATCACTCCCCGACTGGGCTGAAAAGTAAATAATAACTCTCAGGAATTCACGTGAGCGCCGTAATTGATTAGACATTTAAAGGATAAGGCTGGTGATGTGCGGTATTTTTCTTACTGTCAACAGAGCCCATTAGAATAGCAAAACAAAAATAAATTGAGCCGACTAACAAGTATTACCTGTGTATGCAAAGCCCGATACAGTTCATTCGTCTGTGCCACGGAGCTCCATTGTTGTTGATTAACCTGGCCACGGTAATTTATTTGCAGTCGGTCCCACGTACAGCGACTGCCGCCGCACTCACTAGAGCACCAAATGTGCATTAATTCATTCAGCCATTCAAATTAATTCATTTCACATTTGTGGCAGTTTTAAAAACATTTCTGTACATCCTGAGTGGGAACTGACGGCTTTGGCAGGGCCTAGTGTGAGTCACCGGATGTCGACTTTGGGTATAAGCCTGCCGTTTCCGCTGCACATTTCACGTGGCGTTCTCCTCCCCTTCCACTATCTGCGTGTTACCGTTCTCAAAATCCACTTAGTAACAACAACAACCTCCGAGCAGCAACCTACACTCTGAAAATGGCATTTTTTTTTTTTTTACCAAGCATTTGGATCATGCAAGAAGACAGGTCTGCCTGGTTCTTGTGAATTACTGATTTTAATGACAGCACTCGCCTCCGTGCGTGCAAATGTTCCACCAAAACTATTCCACTGTCACTATTTTTGCAGAGAGAACTCAGACATGTCTTCTGCGCAGCACGACATACTTCTAATGACATAAATCAGAAGTTGCATTTCTTGAAATCAGCAAGTGCATCGTTTTTCTAAGTGCCTTTAGGTGTGGGAAGAAATACTAACTCTGCTTATAAAGGATATTCTACTACTAAGTTTTTGATTTCTTTCCATTCTTGTCTCCTCTCTGCTCTGTGTAAACACAGCCTGCAGTTCAGCCCAGTTTATCCATCCATCCATCCATTATCTATACACCGCTTAATCCTCACGAGGGTCGCGGGGGCCTGGAGTCTATCCCAGCAGACTTAGGGTGAAGGCAGGAGACACCCTGGACAGGTCACCAGTCTATCACAGGGCTACACTTAGAGACAGACAACCAAGCACACTCACATTCACACCTACGGACAATTTAGAATCACCAATTAACCTCAACATGTTTTTGGACCTTGTGGGAGGAAGCCGGAGAACCCGGAGAGAACCCACGCTGCACGGGGAGAACATGCAAACTCCACGCAGAAAGATTCCGGTTCCCCCACCGGGACGCGAACCGGCAACCTTCTTGCTGCGAGGCAATAGTGCTACCAACTGCGCCACCCTGCAGCCCCCAGTTTTTCCATCTAGTTGTAATTTTTGCAATGTGACTCTTAGTTCTTCTGAGTTGCAGTGAAGAGCACAGAATTTTTTATTTTTTTTTTTGCACAATCTGATTTGAGCAAACAGTTTGTTTTTGGTGAAATTTTAAACGAAGCATGTTAGAATCCTGATTTTAAGCGGGTGATTAGTTTAAAGCCTGTCAGATTGATAGTAATCTGTGGAATCTGTCTGATAAATACTGCTATTTTGGCGATTTTTAGCTATAACATGCCCTTTAAACCCAACGGTGGATCTCAGGTTACTACAACAACCAGAGCTTTCCCCCTCCTATAGCAGAATAATGATGAGGTGCAGTCAGATCATTCTACATCTCTACCATGGTGCCGGAGAACATGTTGTTGGTTTTGGTGTTTTCATTGGATTTGTTGACAGTCAGAAAATACAGCTTCCTTATCATGTCAGTCTGAAGTTGATAGAAGCTCCACGTTGACACTCATTAGAATCGCCGTTCTGTTTACAGTAAACATTTATTTACAGCAAACACTGACTGAAGAAGGCCCCTATAGCAGTTAGACAAGGGAGTTAGATAACGGCGTAGAAGTGATGACAGTGCATTAGCATGTTTGAAACAAAACAACTGACAGCAACAAGGTTCAGATGATTATCTTGCCTCTATCTGTTGTTGTGTCTTTGACTGAGGTGGCTTCATCCTGCTTTCTGTAATCTTCATCTGATAAATACTTTCTCATTTGAACTATCGAGACTAGTGTGCTTCTCCTGAGGGCTTATATCACGTACTGACATATTTCATTCTCTGTCAGTTAATAGTACGCCAACAGGGATGTGTTAAATGACTACTTGCAGCCACAGGTTAGAGTATGTTTTCAGAAGACATGCTTTAGCCATCGGTGCAACCTGGTTTAATATGTTGCTCTAAGCATGGTCGGCAAATTACATAAGATTTGACTTTTTTTTTTTTGTTGTTGGTAAAAATTATGTAAGATCCTGTTGTTGTGCATATGCTAGCTGTATCTGTACTGTTACAAGAAGTGACTGGGATGTCTGAAAAACCAGACAGCACAAAAACAATCCTGGGACAAACTGTTACATCCACAAAACTCCCACATCAGCTGCAAGACAAGTGCTTCACCTGACCTGAGATAACCCGCCGCCGCGCTCCCCAGACCCCCTCACAACAAGCAGACGGATCATCTCAAGCTCTTCTCCTCCTTTGCCCTCATTTCCCCTCTTCTTCTTCCTTCCACTCCTGTGCCAGCTCGTCCTCCTCTTTCTCTCCTCCTCCTCCTCTGCTTCACATCTTCCTCCTCCTCTTCCTCCTTCTCAAGGCTGTTCAGCCACCGTGAGTCATCCTCACCTGGTGAATAATTAAAAAGTCTGAGACTCTCACTCCGTCTGGCCACGGAGAGTTGGTGGTAGAGGAGGAGGAGGAGGATGAGGAGGAGGAGGAGGAGGAGGGGAGGTGGAGTGATACCTTGCTCAACGTCGCCTGAGGGGGAGTGTTATGGGCAGGATTATGAGCAACTGCCATCCATCCATCCATCCATCCGTCCCTCTCGCGCACACACACACACACACATTTGCGTTTCACCATCCTGGAAACAACTCCCTCAGCCCCCGTTCACAACATGGCTGCCATGTTTTTCCTGGAATACCTGACGCAGAGGAGCAGTAGTGGCTGCACGACTGAAGCGGCGTAATCGTTTGCTGCCATTTGGAGGACGGTTGCCTGATAGGTAGTAATTCCCACAAGGACGGAAGAAGCTTTACAGGCACGGTTTGGCATCCAGTCTCACCCCCTCCGAGATAACTGGATTACCGCCACTTAAAACAGAGTAGCCGAGGTTATTCAGCTTCTTCCTTGAGTGACCTGCAGTGTTGAAATGGCAGCATTGGGAAGGCTTTTGTTTTGCGTTTCCCATCACCAGTCTTGCATCAGGTCAATCCCTTCACAGTGCGACACCCCACCAGACGAATATTACATCAGTTGCTTATTCCGTCTCTGTCTGTTTGTTGAGTTAGCGCTAAAATAATCTGACCGGGGAATATGGATGAAGTGTCTTTTATTACACCGGGCCGCAGATGACACACAGCTTAGTGCAGTAAAAAAAAAATAAAAAATGCAGCGCTGGCCAGCATAAACGCAGCTTTTCACCCACTTCCAGTTATATCTGTTTGTACTTTCTGCTGATTGTATAAGTCAGAAGATTCTCAGCACCATCATTTTCTGTTCATTCTGCGATTATAATTAGCATTCCTGGAAAAGAGTCATGCTTGCAGCAGCACTTTGGAGCGCTGTGTGCTACACAAGACTACATTAGGAGCAATATCAGCTCATTATATTATGTAGCCATGCTCTTAATCAGCACACTGGAGTCATTTACAAAAAGACATACAGCTCTAATGCAACTCTCACTTCCCTTCTTGCCCGCCCTGATTTATTTTACCTGCACACAGTGGAGAAATTTATGCCAACGCGTTGAAATTCTGCACACTCTCACCACCTTATCCTGCCAGTCTAATGTATAGTACATATTTCCTACAGTACAGCTCTGACTCATAGTATGCTGCAGAGTGTGAAATGAACTACTGCACCTTCTATCATCTGTCCAGCAGCTATTTCTCACCGCGCACTGCAGGATTCTGATCAAGACTTAGCTCAAAAAAAAAAGAACTAAATCAGATTTTATGGTGTGTTTTCTCTCAAAATTTGGGGATTCTTGTCTTGTGCTAAGGTTTTAAAAAAATGTGGCTATCTTTGCCAACCTGCAACACACACATGCACAATAGAGTGTGGAGTTGAGGTCGGCCATCCCGGGGTCGAATTACCACCAGAACTGGATTCAATTACTTTTATGGGGATTGATTGATCTTGCCCAGCGCAATGGAGCCAATTAGATTCTCCCAAAAGTGCAAACCTTCCCTGACTTCCCCTCCAGACGCACCGAGAAACCCGCTCAATGTAATTCAAAGGATTTCAATTAGTAATCGACCCTGGTCTGGTGGTTCCCCCATATTTCTGACATCATGATGTGCTGATGCTGTTGTTGCTTGCTGTTTTTTTTTTTTTTTTAAAGCTGCACCTTGTCCTGCGCTCTGGCACGCTGTACACTGCTGCCAGTTTCCATTCCTGTCCTCACTGCCTTTTTTTCTCTCATCACTCTCTTTCTCTCTTCCTCTCTCTCTCTCTTTTTTTTTGCTTGCCGTTCGTCTCTCAGCTTCTGCAAATAACACCCATGTCTGGCAATCCCAGTCACGTAAGTTACTTAAACTTTCATTTGTTGCATCAGGCGGCATGCTTCTGCTCACAGTCGCCTGCTCGCTTTACATGTCATTAGTTAAGCGGCTCGCAGTCTTGCCAGCAAAAGCGTTTTGGATTATTCACTCGCACATTTCAAATCGGGCGTAATTGCCAGATGCTGATATAACATTTAGAGAAACGACACACCCGACAGAGGAGACCATGTGTTTTTGTGTTGGGTTTTTTTTATTCTCAGAGCTCAAATCAGTTTAAAAGATGAGGCCCAGGAGATGACACCCAGTAGCAGCAGACTAAATTTTACACTGATTTTATCACACGGCTTCAGAAGTTCATACCAGACTCATTTTACCCTCATTAGTCTTTAATGGTCCATATGTTCTGCTGAAAAGATGCCCAACCTCTGGAGGACTTCAGTTTAATGACTCCCCCTAGTGAGTAAAACCAACAGCCAGCAGTGGCTGTTAAAAGTAGTCACTCTCTTGGCTTTTTGAAGAAGCTCTTTCACAACAGAATGAACTTAAAGCACACATAAATTGGATTGTTTGGTTGTTAAACGTGGGATAGTAATCAAAGTAGGGAAACTTTCAAGGAAAATGTTAATATTAGACATCTGGACTGTAGAACTGGTCATCCCATTTGAGCTGTATGACTGCATTTTCTAGGTATTTACTCCTATTTCAGCTTTATCTTACATTCAGTGTATATATATTCAATCGTAGAAGGCGCACTCTAAGTTAAATGTATTATTATTTATGCTTTATTCGAGTTAGTTATGTAGATTTTTTACCTTGAAATCAACTTAAATACACAAGTAACTGTGAAAAGATCAAACTGGTGATGCGTTTATTGCCACATAGTGCTGCAGTGTCAAATTGAAGGCAGCTAACTGTCTAACGTCCCTTTTTGTAAAGCACAGATATCGATCGTAGGATGTGTGTTTGTATAGAAGTATAAAGGCTTTTACATTTAGTAACTCACCATCTATCATAAGGGGAGACTGCTATTGCAAAAAAAAATAATGTAAGCCCATAAATGTTGCTCCTAGCTACAACACCACAAACAAGTTCTCTATTTTTTTTGCCTGTATCAGTGCGTTTTGCACCCTATCGGCCTCAAGACATCGCCCTCAAGCCTCTGCTGTTTGAGGTGCCCAGCATCACCATGGACTCCGTCTTCACGGGACGCGAGTGGCTCTTCCAGGAGATCGACGCCCACCTCAACAGCCCCAACTCCGGCACCAACCAGGGCGTCGTGGTCGTAGGCAACATCGGCTTCGGCAAGACGGCGATCATCTCTCGCCTGGTGGCGCTCAGCTGCCACGGCACCCGGATGAGACAGATCGCCTCGGACAGCCCTCAAGCCTCCCCTAAACGTAAATGATTTTAAACACAAAGCCTTTTCGTTTTGAGAGTAACTGTGTGGATGGATTTCATGAGTGTGTTTGAGCTTCCCTGAGTGTGTGTTGCTGTCTCGTGTCCAGATGGAGAGGGGCTTCCTCTCACACAGCCACAGCCTACGCATGGCACCCTCGGAGGAGGCAGCTGTCCCGGGACCCCTGAGATGAGGCGACGTCAGGAGGAAGCCATGAGGAGGCTGGCGTCTCAGGTACCACATGCACCTGCAAACATAAAAATCACTCACACGTTCTCGTTTCAGTTTCTGATTTACAGACAAAACACTCTCAAGACTTAGAGAAGAATCTGGGCTGAACATTTGTGTCTAAATACTGTGGTTGATTGGTGTTTTTGACTCCTTCTCCTCCCATCGCCTGCTTTTACGAATGCAAATGATCTATTTTTCAGCCATTTGCTTAAAAAATAAGTGTGCTTCTAGTGATTATAGCTTGAAATTTTCTGCTTCTGTTTGATTGCTGTATATTAAGAGAAGGTAAGTGCACAGGCCTACACCACTTATGAGCATTTCTACCTTCCCACACCTCCATTCTCCCCCCTTTTCTCTTCACAGCTGTGTGAAATTTAAAAAATAAAAATCAATTGCCAAATATGTCGTCAAGGGAATTTGCAAACTTTACTGTGCTGTCAGCTTTATTTTTCCTTATCACAGCAGAGCAATGCAAACCTGATTGTTAAAAGGAAATATTGTTGAGTCACTAAAGTGGTCATTTTAGCGTAGCAGCATACTTATTTGTGGCTAGCTGTGAAATTTCAAAGCCGCGGTCCATCTGTAATTGAAAAAAAACTGCGAGATAATTTTAAATGGCTTCTTTTTATGTCTTAATTTTTCAATTAGTGGCGGCATAGGTGGTAGGCTAGCCAAAGACACGCTCTTTTGAAATGCCTTTCCAAAATACAAGCGCAGACATGGCTCAGGTTCAGTCGGAAATGATTCACTTTTAGGCTTTGAAAGAAAAGCTTGACGCCACCTGCGAGCTCTCGCACGGGGCTTTGTCCTGAGGTGGTAGGATTCAAAACAGGTGGAGATAAGTTGGGACTTTTATCTTTTTTAAAACATTTAAAAGAGAGTGCAGCTCTTTTTTTTTAAACGTGTGAGTATTTAGCTTTTACTTACCTGCCTGTAAATCTCTCTGAATGTGTGAAACCGCCTCTCTCTTCTTTTTTTTTCCTTCACTTCTTCCTGGTTGCACCTCGGTCCCCCTCCCCTGCTGCTTAGCCATCTGCATCCCCAGTCCCAGCCTGATGCATTATGCAGATGTGTTTAAAAAAGAAAAAACAACTTTGCCAGGGAGCCTTATGAAATATTTATACCTGCAGAAAGCCATTTCCCAGCCAAGCTATTAGATCTTGTTAACTCTGTGCATTAATAATTGAGCTCACTCCCTTTTTCACCCCTTTTGTTTTAAAGCCCCTTTTATTCCATTGTGACCAAAAATTAGCATTCCAATTTGATTAGTCTTTTTTTTTTTTTTCCCTTTTTCATCCCACCCTTTTTTCTCGCTGCCCTCTGATCGCCTCTGAAAATTCAAACTCTTTGTGATCTCTTAGTCTCCCGGAGCACTCGGTCACACCTGCTGCTTGCTGTTTAGTTGACTAACCTTTTGGAAAATTCACCGACCTCTCTACTGTTTTCTATGTCTCCATGCGAAGTGTTGTTTTTTTTTTTTAATTTATTCATTCATTCATTCATTTTGTTTAATCATTCATTTGATCATGTTTCAAGTACGTAGCTGTGAAATATGACAGTTTAACACTTGACTCCTTCGTGCCACAGTCATCTCACACATGCATGAGCTAACTCCGAATCGGGCTCTCCTGGCAGCCGGAAGCGATGAATTATTAATGGCTTAAACCGTACAGCGAAACGAGAAGTATTATGTTTCATTATACTGCAATCATCCACCATGAAGTTGACTCAATCCCAAATGAGTTGTAGCTGTAGCAGACACTGGGAAAACAGGCTTTGCGCTGGCAGAGCATTGAAAAAAAAGTGTTATTCCTACAAAGTGTGTCATCTATACCCCTGATGCTCTGTGACACTGATATTTAATCAATTTTGGAAATACCCAAAGCTTGGTCAAGGTTAGGAGCGGCAGAGGGGGGGGAACGGGAGCGTTCACCTTTCCTCAAAGTGACCCGACTGCAATCTTCTCCCAACTCTCTGTCGCCCCCAGGTGGTGGCGTACCACTACTGCCAGGCAGATAACGCCTACACCTGCCTGGTGCCAGAGTTTGTGCACAACGTGGCGGCGCTGCTGTGCCGTTCGCCACACCTGGTCGCCTACAGGGAGCAGCTGCTGAGGGAGCCACACCTGCAGAGCATCCTGAGTCTGCGCTCCTGCGTCCAGGACCCCCTGGCTTCCTTCAGGAGGGGCGTCCTCGAGCCCCTGGATGCACTTTACAAAGGTAGTAGTTTGGACGTTTCCCTTGCTTTTGGAATCGTTTTTTGCTGCAATGGAAAGGCCTCTGTGGAAACAGCACAACCATGGCTAGAAGTAGAGAGAACTAAAAATGTGTTTTGAGCAGTATGTCAAAGTTAAATCACTTTTAAAAAAACAAGTAAAAATTAAAGTTGAATTTTCTGGTTGGACAATATTTTTCCAAGTGCCAGGTGCTACCAATATTTAATTTTGCTCTACATACTAAGCATATGTTATTGCTTACTTTTTACAACCCTTTACAAACTGTGTGGTGTTTTTCACCCGACTACTTTGTACATCCAGAAAGATGTTTCACTGTGCTGAATGCATCTTCCAACAACTTGCTCCTCTGTATACTATTTTTGAGCCATGCTGCATTTATTTTACTGGTCAAGTATGTTTTATTTCGCTCTCAATCTTCATAATTTGTTTCCATGCTGATTTGTCTTCATCTCTGCTCTATGTAATACACAGCCTGCAGATCAGCCTTAGAAAATAAATTGTAATGTGACTGTTGTTCGCAGCTGAGTCGCTCATGAATGACTTCTATGTTGCATGGAGGAGTGCAGAATTTGTTGTTTTTTACAGAATCTAATGCAAACCCATTTGACCCATTTTTTCAAAAATGTATAATAAGTAGGTTTTGATGAAATATCGCATTTTTTAACTTAGACTTGATTAATTTTCCAGATCATACAAGGCTGGTTTAAAGGCGGTCTGAGCTGTTTTTACGGTTTCTGATTGATATATTGTGTGATTTTGGCAGGTTTAGGGGTTTGACAGCCAAATTGTTAAAATAGGGTCAATATAACTGATTACATTTACTCCTGCACTGCACCTAAGAATAATTTTATAGAATTGTCCATTTAAGGCTACTTTATACTTCTTTACAACTCAGAGCAACATATTGCACTTGTTGCTCCTTTGTGGCAGGAGTTTCTTGTCAGTTGTTAAAAGTTCGACCTTTTTCCCTTTAAACGTCTCAAGTTATTTAATTAAAGCAACTGTTGTCGAACCAAAGACACAAAAATATTCAATGTTTCTCTCCAAAAATTAGAGAAATGTCCTGAGTTTGTTTTATTTCTCTCTTTCCTGTCTGATTAACCATCTCAAGGTCACTCTGCCTCTTGTTTTACTGCATAACCTTTATTTATTTTGTCTGTTGGCTTGAATATCTTCACAGGAATTAACTGATTCTTTACAATCGAAGCCTCTTCAGACTTATTCGTCTTATTTATTCTTTGACTCGAGACCTTGGTTGCTTCACAGTTAGTTGCCTTACGGTGCTGAATTTGTCTTAAACCTCTTATCTTACTTAAAACAAGCCGGAGCTTCACTTGTAGTGTTATCCTGAGATGTTTATTGTCAATAGAGATTAAAAACAAAATCTGCGATGATTAATGTATGAATGTATTGTGGAATCTGTGGCTCAGGCAGCTATTTAAAGATTTTCATCGAGGAGATGACGCAGAATATACGTCGGCTCAACTGCATCTGTCTGGCTGTTTTTCAGAGAGGAAGATCAACTCCGAGGAGGACCTCATCATCCTCATCGATGGCCTCAACGAAGCTGAGTTCCACAAGCCGGACTACGGAGACACCATCGTGTCCTTCCTCACCAAAACCATCAACAAGTTCCCTCCCTGGCTCAAGCTGGTGGTCACAGTCAGAACCACGTTGCAGGTAAAAGAGCTACAGGTTCCTCGATGAGCCCGAATCACAGTGATGGTGGCAAATTCCACTGTTTACACTTTCTCTCCGGCTGTTCATCCTTTTCACTTGGTTGTATTTTTAAATTCAGGGTGGAGGGCTTTATTGTGCTGCTAATACCACCAGCCAGAGGGTTGACATCATTTTCTGCTGGTTATTTTTGCATCAACTGGAGGCCACTGACTGAAATATTGAATTTGTCTCTAATACTAGTCTACTCTCTTTGTCTCTGACCTTTCCATTTTTTGTCTGCGCACATTATGCAGAACATGAGTGGAAATGTTTTCGTAGTAGAAGGAGAGGTTTTTTATTTTTTTTATTATTGTGTCTTTGCTATATTTGTCTCCACTCCCTTCAGTTTTCATTTATTATGACAATGTAGACCAGACATGATAGCTTTTTTAATATTATATTTTCTCTGTCTCCATATTTGGAGCCTTAATGTCTGGGGCTTTGATGTTTTAGTGTATTAATATCTATTTTTTTGACGTTTTGCTGCAGTAACATCCAGGATTTTGATGTTTTGGTGCATAAATATACTGGTTTTTATTGTTTTGGTGCAGTAATGCCCTCGTTTTGGATGTTTTAGGGCATTAATATCCAGCTTTTTGACATCTTGGTGCATTAGGTTCCAGTTTTTTG